GCACGCACATACACACTTGAGCCAGATGTTTGAGTCATTACCGTAATTACCCTGTCATGTTTGATATTTTCTTTTCGGGCCCTCCAAACTCCAGCCTCCTTAACAAATAATATTGTCACATCTATTGCAGGAAAACCTTATTATCTCTAAATCTAATTTTTCTTTTCAGCCTTGCCAAGTGGGCCACTTATTTGTCTTTGTAGTCATTATTATTTTTTTTAATTAAAACCCTTGGAGCTCCTTCCTGAATTTATTGGGTTACTCTCTGTTTGATTTTTCCTAGGAGTTATTTTTAGCTTTAGCACACACACCTTTTTGTGGCTCTGCTTATGTTGCCCTGTTCTACATCAACTCAACATAGGCAAGGAGTTCAGTTTTTAAATAAACTTTCATTCGTGGACCATCTCCTTTCTCTCCACACAAGAAATCTATATGTGAGTATAGTAGGTTACATTGAAGGTTGGATAAGAGAGGGATATTACAGAAGGACGAACAACTTCGAATTAGGTTTTAAAATGCCGTTACCTGCTCTTTGGTGGTGTCATGACCTGGATGTTTTGATTATCCACTGCGCCTTAGTAGCTGGCCAGCTGGATTCTCTAGTCTTTCTTCTTTTTCTCCATCTCACTTTTCCTTCTCAATCTTCACAGTGTTTTCCCCATCCTCTCCATCCTTCACTGCACCCACGTCCCATAGTCTGTGATGCAAGAGAGTTCAGCTGGCTCCATCCCTATTCCCAAACTCAGCAATTTTCTATCTTTGCCTGTTGCAGTTTTTCAAAGTGCTCAGCCTGAACAGGGTCCACCTTCTCAAAGAGGCAGTTGGTTGAACAAAAAGATTTTTTTTTATGTTTTGTTTTGTTTTTACCATTATAACAATATCAAAATGCCCAAAACTTGGTCATGATTATACCATGTTTGTACAACTTTATGCACCAGTAGCTTCTGAGATTATAACAGATGGGGCATGAGAGAGATCCAATTTGGGTGAATTAATGTGTTAAAATTAGAAATTAATGTGTTAGGTTCAGAATTTATGTTCATGTGCTAGAAATAAAAACTGTACAGTAATTAAACTCCAAAGAGGATAAATTCAAATAAAATAACCTGAATAATAAGAATTTTAAGTAGACTACACTATCCAATAGATATTGCTGTTCAATATAATTTCAAAACTTCTGACTTTATAAAAATAAATTCTTTTTAACCTGAACTTTCAAGCTTATAGGACTATTGTAAATGATACATTAGTTCTGATTGTTTACATTCTGAGGTTCCTTCTCTGGATTTCATTGGCGTTCCAGAAGCGGATCTTTTATTCCTTCACATTTACTCGCTTTATTTTAACTTACCTAACGTGAGTTTTTTTTTTTAATTATTATTCAGTTGGAGATATTTGTGATTCTTGATATAAGTGACTTTCTAGTAGAACCTGGACATTTTGAATATTATATGAGACTCTGGATCTTCTTTATTCCTTCTGTTTTAACTGGATTCCTCTGACACTGCAACAGTAGGAAAGTGGGAGAGCCACCTCATCACCCAGATTCCCCACCCAGTCTCCCCTGACAACTGTATGGATTGTACTTCTTATCACTTCTGACTGGGGTGGGAGCTCCAGCTCTCCAGTAGGCCTCCACCGATGTCTCCCTGGCTGAGAGAGATGTCCCTTGTTACTTCTTCCCACATGACTTCCACTGATGGCAGGGGTGGGAGGGAAGCGAAAGTCCTGACTTTCTCCTAGGTCTCCTCTGACGCATCAGTGGGAAGGGGAGGGTACCTTTTTACTATTTGGGGGTAGAAGTTCCCTTCACTACCTGGCTTCCACTGCATTGCCAAGGGCAGTGTTTAAAGTCTCGCCTTCTTTGACACCACCAGCCTGGGGAGGGTGGAAGTCTAGCTTCCTCACTTGGCCTTTGCTTAAGTAGTGTTGAGCTGGGGTACAGCAATTATCATCTAAAAGTTTTCTGCCTTGCTACGCTGTCCCTTTCTCCTTTGGCTAGAAAGAGCTGACTGTTGGGCTTTCTTTTGTTTCTACTTATTGGTGTTATTTGGTTGCTGGATTTTTCACATCCAAGTCTGGGATATGTAAGGCAAAACAATCAATCAATCAATCAATTAAACAAACAAACAAACAAAAAACAACTTAGGGAACTTACTACTATGTAGTTCCTTAGTCCCAGTGTCCCTGGGTGGTCTGCCTTCTCCTTGCCTTTCAGAGTCTTCTTATGTTTGTGTTTATATACCAGTGTTTTTTTTTAAGTTGTACTTAGTGGGAGGAACAGGGAAAAGTACATTTACTCCATAGTCCCAGATACAAAAGTCCTCAAAAATAAGATTTATTTTATTGCTTATTTTTGCTCTTTCTTTAAAGTCAAAAGATAATGACCAACTCTGTAAAGACACTGGAAAACAATTTGCATAACCCAGATTACTATATATGAAAGACTCCTTTAAAAGTTACCTAAAACACGTATGTGTAAAAGTGAGTAGTTAAAGAAACTAATTCTAGGAATGAAGAATCCTTAGGAATTTGATGTTATAGAAGGAATTTTTCTTGAACATTATAATTTACGTATAGTCGATATCCTCAAAAATGATATTTATTTAAGTTGTATCATTTAAATTGTTATGTCTATTGTATTGAACAGTGAGAGCCACATATATTATTCTTTTATTAAACTAAAAAGTATTACCTACTTTTTGTAACAGATCCACTGAATTCAGAATAGGTTTGAGTAAAATAGTACCCCCATCCCAATTCCATTTTACAGATGTAGCTACTGTTCACGTCCACATGCATCCATCCAGCTTTTAGTCTGTGTTTACACTTTCAGTCATGCTCTCCCACCTCCTAGTTTTCCTCCCCAGCCCTCTTTCTATGTCCTTTGTAAGCTCATCCTTCTCTATCCAGCTATTAAATGTTGGGATGCTTTCAGACTTGGTTCTAGAATTCTTCTCAATATTGTTTTTTGGGGGAACTCATCTATATCCTTGTTTCAATTGCCCTTTACACTCAGATGATGCATAAATTTATTTTCCTAGTTCAGGTTTCTGGTCTGAGTGTCAAACCAATAATTCGAACTCTCCACCTAATATTTCTTTTTGGATATCCGAATGGCACTCCAAACCCAACATGTCAAGCCAGGCTGATAATCTTCCCTCCCAACCTTTTCCAGATTTTGCATCTCAGTAAATAAAACCACTATATATTGAGTTATATTTGCTAGAAACTTACTGATTTCCTTTTTCCTTCACTTCCCATTTCTAATGAATCACCGAGTTGTGTGGCTTTTACCTACTTAATCTGCCCACTTCTTTCCATTTTTACCTCAAAGCTTTCATCATCTCCTACATGGGCTAATGCTGTGGATTCTTACATGGACTTTCTGCTTCTAATCTCATTATGCTTGACTTAATTTTTCACTCTGTAACCAGAGAGATCTTTTCAAAATACAAATTTGGTCATTCCACCTGTTTAAAATATTTCATTTTTTTTCTATTGCTCTTATAGTAAATACTTAAATCCTTAACATGACTTAGCGCAG